CCCTTCTAAAGCTAAGGAGCTGAATCTTAAGTCCAATGTGGTAGTATTACAAGATACAATCTTAAGAAGGGCTCCTCCCTGTGAGTGGGGATTCAGGCCCATATAAAAGAAGCATCACACAGTGCTTGGCTCTCTTGTCCCTCTCCACATGCAGACAGCATTCCTCATCTCTTGAGGATGCAGCCACAAGGCTCCGTGTCACCATCCTGGAAGCAAAGAGCAACTGCCGCTAGACAAATGAACCTACTCCCACCTCAACCTCTGATTTCCAGCTCCAGAGCGCTGAAGAAGAACTTCAGTTCTTTATTTAAAGTTTTTATTTTTTTGTGGTACTTGGTAGTAAACCCCAGGGTCTTTGTACTTAGCTATAACCCCAGACCTTTTAAAAAAAATTTCTATTTTGTGTCAAGGTCTTGGCAAGTTGCTATGTGGCCTAGACTGGGCTTGAATTTATGGTCCTCTGTCTCAGTGTCCCAGAGTGCTGGAATTACAAATGGGAGCTACCATGCCTGATTTGTTCCTTTACACATATCTCAGATTCAGGTATTTTGTTATCTAAGCATGAATTATATTAAGACATCAAGAACATAAAATTTAAACTGAGGCTTGGAGGGACTTAGCCAGGTGAAAAGGAGGAAGAGCGTCTTAGCAAAGTGTAAGGAAAGGAGCACGGCAGAGGGACTAAAGAGCAGAGATTCTCTCAGGCTGTGGCTGCCATGGAGAGCAGAAGGGAGGAGCAGGGAGGTGGCACTGGGAAGGAGAGGCGGGGCAGATGGCTAGAGCAGGACAAATGGAGCTCTGGCACTGTGCCTTAGGTGAGGGAAGAGTGACATTTTCTAACCAAAGCTGTAGGAAGCATCAGGGCTCCAGAAAGAGGAGGATCTGACATGGAGGCAGAAAGGGCTTGGATCGCCATGGAAATGTTCCGGGGGCTGGAACCTTCCCTGTGGCCCAGCCAAAGCCAGGAAGTCCAAAAGCTCTGTGGCATTTAGCAGGGAGAGCTTGGCAAGGTGAGAGCCATGGAAAGGTGTTTAGAAAGCTATGCTTGTGGGTGTGAGCATTCGAGAAATGTGTCTAGGACCGAAAGACTTCCAGGGGCACTTCTAAGATGGGTGCGCTTGTGCTGGGCTGGGTGGGGCGGACAGAGTTCTCTTCTTTCTGCTGGTATCCACAGGAGGAGTGAGGGGTAATCTTGGGGATGGCTAAGGTGCTGGCCCAGAACCCACGGTGCTCTGGCTCCTCCTGTCCTTCCTCCAGCAGGCGTGGTCCTTGGAGGTGGTGCAGGCCATTTCCTTCGCATCACCTTCCTTTCCAGTCTTTCCCAACCTAGACAAAGTTAGTTTTTCCCCCAAAGGAGCAACTTGTCCGAAACATACAACGCCAATAAGGGGGGCCTGACCAGAGCTCTTTATCTACTGTGGCACTTCCCCTATTGTCTTGAAAAAATTTGTACCATCTAAAAATAAAATGTGATACCCCTTTCTATAGAACAAATCAGATGGAAAATAATCAGTTCTAACTATCTCAGATAATCTGTTTCTTTCTCTCTCTCTTTTTAAAAATGTATTTGTGTATAGCGTCTACAGGGCCTCACTACACAGATCAGACAAATAGTGATCCTCCTATTTTCAGCTTCCCATGTGCTGGGATTACAGGCATGCACCACCACACCCAGTCTCATTCGCTATCTCAGCGCGCCCTGGGGCTAGGCCAGCACAGCACACCAGGGATCAAACCCCAGTCCCTGTGTAGGTGCTTTAGTCTTCTGAGTATCTGGCTGGCCTTTCTTCTTTACAGAGAGTTCTGATTTAACTAATCAGGAAATAACTCTTAAGATAGACATTATTCTAGGCATTTGGGATATGTCTATAATAAGCCTAACAAAGATCTCTGGCCAAGCTTACAATTTTGGAGGCAAGAGAAAAAGAAGACATGAAAAGTGAACGGTAGTTTGCTAGGAAAGGTGATGAGTTGCTACCGAAAAACACAGGAAGGGAACTAAGGAGTTCTTTTATCACCAGCCGACCTACCCAAGCTGGCAGGAGAACAGGAAGGGTGGGGCAGAAGGAAGCACAGGCTCTAGCATCTGTTTGTTGCTATAGCTTTTGGTTCTTGTTTGGGCTTTAGAAATAACGGTACATATTACTTTGATACGCATTAATGTGCAATACAGAGTGGTGAGGGTGGCAGCAGGAGACAGGTTCTCCTCTGCTGCTGTGGAAATAGGGTGCAGCCTCTTGGGTCCATGAATGGAGAAACAATGTAAGGACAGCAGAAGAGTTTAGAGCAGAAACTATTAAATGCAAGCAAGTCCTTCCTTGTAGCGGATAAGTGAAGGATGCACAGGACGGGAAGATGAAGATAGAGTAGGGTGGGGCCACTCGCCTCTTCCTATAAGTCTTTCTGTAAGTCTAGATTAAAAGTCAGGAGCGTGTGTTACTCGGATGGTTATCAGAACCACTCTGTTGTGCCCCAGGGTGTCCTTGATGTGGAGTGGTGCCTTGGGGGCTTCTGTGGGGGATGAGGAGATGGGATGGGAGAGCAGGCAAGTTCCGTCCTCACGCATCTAAACCTACCTGCTCTCATTTGTTCGGTGTGTCCGTTTTTCGTGTGGGATTTTGCATGAATAAAGGATTCTGCAGCTAAGGTTGGTTTGAACTCCATGATCCCTTCTGGTTCTCATAATTAATGATGCTTTTAAAGCACCAGTCAGCCTTTGTGCTCCTGCCTACTTACGGCCTACAATGATTTCCTTAATGTAGTCAGAAGCCTGGCAGTGTTGTCCCAGTTGGCCATGGCTTGCCTTGATTGGGGAATTTACTGCCAGGTCACTCTGTGTGGAAGCGAGACACTGCAGCTAGTCACTCATGGTCACTACTCCCTTGTGTCTCTGAAGCCACTATCAGGACAGTGGTCCCTTGGGCATCTGTCTGGCCTGCAGCGTCGTGGCTGCTCCAGTGTCCATCTGGCAGTTCCCTGATGTTATCCCAGTATCTGCAGTCTCTCCTGGAGTGGCTGTGAATTCTACTTATAGAACTTCTCCTCCCACTCCACTTCCCCTGAGGGGAGTGGGAGAACCGGAGAGGGCCTGCTGGCTGTGAATGAAGTTAAGAAAGGCAGGCAACCGCCCTTCAGCTTAGTCACCCCTAATGACTCCACTTACAGACGTGTGTCATGGTCTGCGGCTCTGGTCCCCTCTATTCATGTTTCTGAGCCCTTTGCAGTTGTCCCATTTCTGCGTGACAGCTGCTTCCTTGAGGTGGAGGTTCCAGAGGCTCTGTGTTTCCAGGCACTGCTCAAGCCTTCCTGCCTGTAAAGACTGTCCCTTCACTGGC